AAATAATTAAATCATTGAATTACTACAGAAATTAAATTAACTAGATAGAAATAAAGTAAAAAAGTTAAAAATACTGTATGGCGAGGAACCGAAACTGCTTCACGATATCGCTAATGATGTTTAGTGAGTGGGCTTTTTAATTTTAATTAGTATTTATAGCAGAAAAAAGTATAACAAGTTTTTAAGAATGGCAACTTAAGCAAAAAAATTAGAGTTAGTAAACCAATATCTAGAAACTTTTCTTTATATCTAATAACTTGCTATATATATTTGTGTTCTGCCGTGACCTGCTTGTTCATCTGCGAGTTACTTTGTATGCATTGTTTGTGTTTAGTAACCAGAAACTTAATTATTAATAACTTCATTGAAATGATTATTAGTGACTTCATTGAAAACGCAATTATTTTAGTTTATTTTAATTAATTTATTTTAAATATTTTATTATTTTAAAAATTTTAATTTTTAAATCTTTGTTTACAAATTAAATCATAAAAATTACTTTAAAAGATTACGATGAAAAATTTATAATTAGATTTATAATTATAAATATAAATATAAAAAATATAAATTACATTTGCAAAAAAAATACAAACTTTTTAAATAAAAAATAAGATTATACTAATAAAATCTATAATTTATAATAAACTTTCAAAATTTTGACAATTTAAATATTATATATTTATAACATTTATTTTGGTAAACAAATAATAATAGTTTATAAAATTTACGGCTTTGCAGATGTGACTCTGAGAATGAGCCATAATATTGATAATATATTCTTAAAACAATTTATGCTAGAAATCTCATAACGTAACAAATCGGGAATACAATTTCACAAACATTCTAGAGCTTTATTTTGCTTAGTCAGCATAATTTTGAACCAATAGAATTAGTTTGTTCGTTAATTTTACAGGTTTTTAGTGTTCGCGAATATTCTTTTTATTATCACGCAACAAGATGTTTTGAGAACATTCAAGTTTTTTATGGTTCCATGTATGTCCGCAAAACAAAATTTTTTTATTTCGTACATAAACTTAAATGTTCTCAAAATGACTAAAAAACCTGGCCAGTTTTTCTCGAATAATATAATTTCCGTGGTCAGTATTCGAGAGCGATCGCTCCTGCTTCCTGACCAAGCCTGATATATATATATATATATATATATATATATATATATATATATATATATATATATATATATATATATATATATATATAAATATATATATATATATATATATATAAACACAGTAGTGTACAAAAGTAACCGAACAAGCGCATAACTTGAGATAACTTTTGAATGAAAAGTCCAATTTCTTTCAAATTTTCACTGGAATGTTAAATAATTGATAACAATTCTAAAAACAAAAGAATTTTTATTAAATCTAAGCAATATAATCTTAAAAGTTCATTTTATTGAAATATGTGCGTGCAAAAGTATCTGGGCAGAACTAAAATAATAAAATTGCAATACTTTTATTGGCTTTTATTTTATGTTTAAAAACGGTAAACAAAGCATAAAGTATTTTTAATTAAAAAGAAGATTGTTTTGAATAAATTTGGAAAATGACAAAGGGAAAAAATACAAGTTTAGCTGTTAAAGAAGCGGTATTGCGTGCAACTGAACAAGGCAGACATAGACAAGAGACATTTCTGATCAGTTTCATTTTGGAAAATCAACAGTAGCAGATATATATAAAAGACATAAGGAAAAAAATAACAATAGAATCTCTTCAGTCAGGAAGGCCTTGAATTACATCTGAAAGAAAAGATAAAATTTTAGTTCGTGCCGCAAAAAATAATCCACCCAAAAATGCTGTCTTGTTAAATACTGAAATGAAAGAATTTTATAATGTAAAATGTAGTGTTGACAGAACCAAGCGTCGTTTGAGGTCTGCAAATCTATTTGGAAGACGTCCTGCAAAGAATCTTTTTATTTCCATGAAGAATCAAAAAGCACGATTGAGACTTGCTAAGGAACATTTGAATTATCCAAGAGAACAATTTTGAAAATAATTTTTTAGTGATGAATATAAGTTTATGTTATTTGGATCTGATAGTATTAGATATGTTCGTCAACCATAGAAACAATCCTAAATACCAGCTACCAACAGTAAAGCACGGGGGTGGAAACGTTATGGTCTGGGGTTGCTTCAATAGAGATGGTGTCAGTCCTATCCATTTGATTGATGGCATAATGGACAAAAATATGTAAAAAGATATTATTAAGGATGTTATGCTACCACATGCTTAAGACAAAATACCTTGAAGATGGATATTTCAGCAAGACAATGACCCAAAGCACTTCAACCCTTGTAAAAGACTTTTTCAAGATCAAAAAAATTTGATTAATGGAACCTTCACAAAGTCCTGAGCTTAATCCTATAGAAAATCTATGGAAACACCTTGATCAACAAATTTTAGGTCGTAAACCAACAAATAAACATGATTTATTTAAAAATCTGAAATAAGGCTGGGAAAAAATCGACAATAATGTGATTGTGAAGCTGGTAGACTCAATGCCTTGTCGTTGTCAATGGGCATATTTCAATAAAATGAACTTTTAAGATTATATTGCTTAGATTTAGTAAAAATTCATTTGTTTTTAGAATTGTTATTAATTTTTTGACATTCCATTGAAAATTTGAAAGAAATTGGACTTTTCATTCAAAAGTTATCTCAAGTTATCGCTTGTCCAGTTACTTATGCACGCTAATGTATATATATATATATATATATATATATATATATATATATATATATATATATATATATATATATATATATATATATATATATATATATATGGGCAATTTCGCGAGAGTGGCGGTCCTAACATTTGACATTATTTAAGCTATTAAAAATGAATCAAAAATGGAAATGACTTGAAACTTCTCAGAAATGTGGAATGCTATTACATAATTTAGTATGCAAAAATTACAGTATTAAAGTCTTATACTTTTTTCAAAAATTATCTCTGTGTAGCATGACGGTTGCAACGTTTACTGTTTACCACTTCTGAAGAAAACAGCTTTGTCAAACTAATTGCAGTGAACGACATAATAATAAAAAAAAAAAAATCCTTTAGTGTGTGTATTTAGCACAGATTGATGTTATTATATGCTGAGTTTTATAGATTTTACTTGATGCTTTATAAGCATTTCAATGATACTTTTGTCGTGACGGTCGTAGAGAAAAATCTAATTTTGAAAAACAATAAATAAAACAACGCTATCAAAAAAAAAGTTTAAATTAAGTTTAAATGGTTAATGCTCCCTGTTCCCAACATAAGTTTATAAAATAATTCTTTCAAAGTAAAAATATCGATTTCAAAATTATTTTCAAGCTTTGGTTGCCAACTTTCACTTGATTTTTTAGCTTGTTTTTATTTCTTTTGATAACTGTCTTCTTTAATAACTTCCCTTTCTTTTTTTTTTCAACAACACTTTTTCGTTTCTTGCTCTATAAACTTTTGATCTTTCAGCATCTGATTTAGGCATTTAAAAAATGTTATTAAATTTAATTTTGGAGATTAATGTTCTGTTATGATTAAAAAAAACTGTGAAATTTACAATTAAAATAACCGCGAAATCAAATAAACAAAAGCATTGAAATGCAAACTATAAAAAACTTTTTAATGAAAAAAGATTTTCTTTAAGTTAAAAGTTTTTATTTCTCAAATATTAATTTATTTACATCAATTATTTTAAATAAGTGATTTATATTTTAAAAAAGAAATAATTTCTAATTTTAAATTATTCGAAATTACTTTAACAAGCTTAGCAATATTATGAGTAAACAAACTGCAAATGATTTTTACTTGGTTTCAATAATAAAATCGTTCGCGCTGAAATTTTTTATATAGATGTCAAGAAGCTGTTATGGAAAAATAAATATAGCGTGATGGTCGTAACGTACTTTGTTACATCTTAATACTGTCATCTATAGCTGTTTTTTAAAAAAAAATTAAAACAATGATAAAACTTATATCAGTATCTTTATTTTTACTATATTTTTAGCTTTATAAAGTCTGATACCCAACCTAGAAAATATTTCTCGACTTTTTTTTGTGACGGTTGTAATGCATTAACTTGATAAACATGTTTTTTTTAATACATAGTTGGAATGCGTTTTTATAAATAATATTCTACATAATGTTTAATATCGTCTTTAAGTTAAACTTAAAAGTAATAGTTACATAAAAATGCAGCACATTTACCTTTTTCAATGCTTCACAACAGGACTATTTAAAAACGCCAAAAGTTTTTTATATAACTCATTTAATATAAACATATATATTGTTTTTATAACTTTAAAACAATGCTATAGTATGATAAAATTACTTTTTTAATCATTTTTTGGCTTAAAAGTATTCTTAAATGGTTAAAAAAGGAATTTATTGAGGTTAGCACATGTTTTCCTAACTTTATATATATATATATATATATATATATATATATATATATATATATATATATATATATATATATATATATATATATATATATATATATATATATATATATATATATATATATAAATTAATTTCTTCTATGGTATGGAGTTAATTCAGTAGTCCTAAGTCACTTGAAAAAAAAAAGTGTAACATTTAAACCAACTCTTAACACATGTTGCGTTCATATTAAAGAAAATCTAAATAAAAAACGTGTCAGCTAAACTTTTTTGATTAAAACTAAACAATGAAAACAAAATTATTAAAAATAAATGTATATCAATAAAAACAACCATTTCATTTTTGTCAAAGCTTCTCCATTTTACTCTGTATTTCAGAGTCTTTATAATATACATAGCAATCTTGATCATTTATTTCAAGAACATTTAATTTGTAAGAGTTTTAGTATATAACATTATAGCAGTTAGTTAAATATTCATAATAAAGACTGTCCATTTATTTTGAAAATAATTCTATAAAGACATATATTAAAACTCTTATGATTTGAATGCATTTGAAAAAAAATTTATTGAAATGAACAACTTACCCTAACCAGTTTGAAAGCATTTCAACAATTAAATCTTTTCTTTTTTTAAAACGGAGACCAACAAATTTAATCTAGAAAGTGAAAACAATGAAACAACAAACTTTGCAACATATATATATATATATATATATATATATATATATATATATATATATATATATATATATATATATATATATATATATATATATATACAGGATATTGTATATTATAAAGACTCTGAAATACAGAGTAAAATGGAGAAGCTTTGACAAAAATGAAATGGTTGTTTTTATTGATATACATTTATTTTTAATAATTTTGTTTTCATTGTTTAGTTTTAATCAAAAAAATTTAGCTCACACGTTTTTTTTTTAGATTTTCTTTAATATGAACCCAACATGTGTTAAGAGTTGGTTTAAATGTTACAATTTTTTTTTTTCAAGTGACTTAGGACTACTGAATTAACTCCATACCATAGAATAAATTAATTTATATATATATATATATATATATATATATATATATATATATATATATATATATATATATATATATATATATATATATATATATATATATATATATATATATATATATATATATATATATATTAGGGTGGGTCATAAAATTTTTTTCTCTTGTTACAGGCTCTAAACATTACTAACAGTTATTAATATTGATACTATCAAATATGAGAATGATTGTGATAGATTTAAAGGGCCCAACTTTATTAGGAAAGTTATCGGTACCCTAATATTTTGCAGAAAAAAAGTTTTTCAAAAGTAGGTCAACCTGGTACTCAAAAGAAGCAAAATGTTATAAAAAATTCGAAATTAATAATCGTTTCATAAAAATCATACTGCTAAAAAAAATTGCTATTAAGAAACAAGTAAAAATGCACCTTTTCCACTTTTAGTTAAAAAACTATAGTTATTATGCAATAAAATTAAAAATAATAATTTTTATATAAAATAATTTATATTTTTGAAATTTTTATAAAATTTCACTTTATTTGAGTACCTACATCACATAATTTTGAAAAAAATTTTTTTTTAATAATAATAGGGCCTGCTAATTTTTGTAATTATAGTTGCGAGTGGAAGACTGTGTTCAATCCATAAAAGTAAATTCTTTCCTATATTAGTACATAAAAAAACAACTTTCTAGACCATAGCCCGGTTAGCAACTCTAAAAAAAAATTTTATGACCCACCCTAATATATATATATATATATATATATATATACATATATATATATATATATATATATATATATATATATATATATATATATATATATATATATATATATATATATATATATATATATATATATATATAAATTGTTGTTTTGATTATTTGATGATAATCAACTCTTTTTCAGTTTGAGAGAGATTAATATAAAGTGAAATAATCACAAAATAGATCAATAAATAACTAAATAAATAAAAGGTTAGATAAGAAAAAACAAATTTTTTACTGTACTTAAAGTTTCATGCCGTTTTTCGACACTCGTCAGCCATGTATTTCTGACTATCATGAGGATGACTATCATGAATATATGGCTGATGAGTGCCGAAAAACGGCATGAAACTTTAAGTACTGTAAAAAAGTTGTTTTTTCTCATCTAATTTTATATATATATATATATATATATATATATATATATATATATATATATATATATATATATATATATATATATATATACACATATATATGTATATATATATGTATTTATATATATGTATATATATGTATATATATATATATATATATATATATATATATATATATATATATATATATATATATATATATATATATATATATACACATACACACACACATATATATACATATACATGTACATATATATATATATATATATATATATATATATATATATATATATATATATATATATATATATATATATATATATATATATATATATATATATATATATATATATATCAGGCCTTGCGATGAATAAGAACTGCGCGACGCATAAGCACGACGCGATTTTTGACGTCATTAAATTCTTTTTATTTGCTTTTCTTATTTATCGACATTAACTGCACCAATTTATTTAATTACCGCAAAACTACTTTAAATCGTTTATGTAGAAATGTTATTATTTAAAAATGTTTTGGAATGTTTCGTTTTTTAAAATGTAAAAACATTTGTTTATTTTCTCGACGTTTGTCGCGTTTTGTCTATACTAAACGAATAAAAAACATTATAACTTAAATTTAAAAAAGATTATAAAATATGCTAATATTTGATTTTTTTTTTTCTTAAATATGTAATTTAAAGTTTTTCAAATAATTATTTTTTCTTTTTAAAAAGTCAGCGAGTAATAAACTGGAAATTTTAATATTGTACGATTAAAAACTGTGCAATAGCTAATATTTTTACAAGCGATTTTATATAATATTTATTTATTTTTATTTATTTTCATAAAGCGGTTGATAAGCACAATCACTCGTATTAATAAAAAACTTAAACGAACGTTTTGAATAGATTTTTAATGTTAACAAGGAATTTTATTTCTATTAAAATAAAATAAAATGTTAGAATAAAAATCTTATAGGTATAAAAGAAATATTTCAGCGAAAAAATTATTCTTAAAAATTATTCTTAAAAATTATTCGAAAAACTATTGACGTTCTATTGTTCTTGAGCACGCTTCGATGAGTTTCGGTAACTTTTAACATAAAAGCGATCGTTATTATTTAAGTAATTTTTTTAAGTTACTTTTTACAAAAATTTTAATAACTGTACTTTTTTATTGAATCAAGTAGAATACGTTTTGATATTAATCTTTTTTTTTTTTTATTTGCCCTCACCAATTTTTAAAATGTTTCCTCGAAATCACTCTTAAATACTTTAAATACGTCTAACAGTTAATAAATATTTTTAAATCTATGGAATAATTTTAAAACCTATCAAACCCCTGTAAAATAATTATTTAAGTTTAAAATCTAAAACTAAAAGAGAGTATTTTTGTTCAATTTTATCGACAACGTTGCTATTGCTGAATAATTTTATTAAAATGTTAGCTTAAAAGATTTAAACTTTTTTTTTATTTTTTGAATTTTTTCTACTTCCAAATATTTATGAGCATATTTAATTTTTTTAAATTCAAACTTTTATTTCAACTGCGTGCGGTTTTTAAAATACTTTATTAAATGTTAAAATAATCGTAAATTACTTCATTAAAATTCTGCTCAAAAATATCTTTAAATATACTCAAACAAAAAATTTTTTGCTTGACGCAAATAGCCCTAGCTACACGCAAAATCGCCCTTGGACGACGTAAAATTCACATCGCCCGACGCTTTATCGCAAGGCCTGATATATATATATATATATATATATATATATATATATATATATATATATATATATATATATATATATATATATATATATATATATATATATATATATATACGCATGGTTTACACTTGTGGTTGCCCAACAGTACCAAATGAATTTTGTGAAGGATGACTAAATATATTCCTTTGATGTTTATTAATAATCAAAATAATAAATCTCTATTAATAATTAGAACATAAGAAAATTATAGGAGCGTTTAAATATATTTATAAAAAACTAATTCATCTTTATTTTTTTACAAAATCTATTAGGGATTTAGAGATGAAGTATTATTACTAAATTTGTTGAAAAAATGACTTGACAGGCCTTTGTACTTTCTTTGTACTTTGACAGGTTTTGTTAAGAAGCGCTACAGCTCATATTTTATATAGGGGTTTAGTAGTTTTATATTAAACAAAAACTTTTAAAATATTTCAATTATCTATAAATATTGTTTATATGACGTTTATTCAAAAAATATTATATCGTAAAAAAAAGCATTTAAAGGGGTTGTCCATAATTTATGTCACGCAATTTTGACAGTTTTTGACCTCACCCCTTCTCATCACAAAATCATTACACTTAAGTAGAAAGTTTTGTATGATTCGTCACAAAACCACCAACCCCACCTCCCCCTTATAGCGTGATGTAATTTATGGACAAGCCTAAACGCAACAAATCATTTTATAAAAATATTTTTTAATTAAAAGACTATAAATTAAATTTTAAAAAATATGATTTAAAAGATTTAAATTTAGTTTAAAAGTAAAGTACTGTCACAGAAGAGAGCTTAGATTCATGTTTGGCAGCTTGTACTAAGCAAAAATATGATGACTTTTTGTCAAGACTAATGAGGAAATAATGAAAAATTAATGAGGATAAAACCTTGTGATATCTCAGAGTTACTGGAAATGAAAGAGTGTTGTTAATTAAGGAAAACTTTAATACTGCAGTTAGAAAGAAACATAAATCAACATCGGTATTGAAAACAATTAAAGTAACAAAAAATTATTAATAAATTAACAACATATAAACAACATTTCAAAATGTTTCAAAATTTCAAAAGAATACAAGTGTAACTGTTAATGTTTATAACATAAAACCAAAATTAAAAAACATAATTTTAATATAAAAAACAAAAAAAAAAATATAAAACTATAAAAAGTAAAATTATAAAATCAAAATTAAATTTCAAAATGTTATTGTTATTATATTATAAAAATTAACATAAAAAGTAGCGGTGTAATAAGAGATTCGGAGTTCCACAACATTCCTGGTAATAAGGGAGGGATTCAGACTTCCATAACATTCCTAGTAATAAGGGAAGGATTTAGAGTTCCACAACATTCCTGGTAATAAGGGAGAAATTCCGCGTTCCACAACATTCCTGGTAATAAGGGAGGGATTCCGAGTTCCATAACATTCCTGGTAAGAAAGGGAGGGGTTCTGAGTTCCACAACATTCCTATTAAAGCACTTAACTAGGTTTTCTATGCAGCATTTGTGTTTCCTTTTAAAGATTGAAAGAGGGCGATTGAGCGAGTTATGTCATGACATGACATAACTTGCTTAATCACAATTTTTTTTTTGTAGGATTAAAAAGTATGTAAAAAAAAAAAAAAAAAAAAAAAATTGGACCATTATGATCACATTAGAAAAAAAAATATTGAGATTTACTTGGCGCTCAAAGCCAAATAATTAAGGAACAATTTAGGGCATTTTTTGGAGTATTTTGCTGCTTGAGCACAATAAATGTCAATGTTAAAATTTTTTTTTTTTTGGATTTGAATTTTTTTTATATTTGCTCCAAATTTGGCTTCTTGTGTGTTCGTTTTTTGTGTGTTTATTTTTTTGAACACTTCAAAACAGCCCCTAAATTTAGTTTGGTAAAGAGCTAATTGAATTTTATTTTTACTTTCAAGCTAAACTGACATTGTTTTATAAGAAATTTACATACCGAACTTGTTAACAGTTCATTTATATTTTCAAAATATGACAACAGCGTGGCACCAACATAAGAAGGTATTCGCAGATTTTCAACTCCACTAAGAGCACTATAGTGAAAATTAATCAATCATTAAACTATCAAACCTAAAATACTTTATTATCAAAAAAACAAGATGATTTATTAATAAAACAATAAGATCTCACATGTGCACTTACCCTTGGGTACATAAAAACACATATTATATTTACATGAACTCATATAGTCTTATCTTTGTATACACACATGCATTTTTAGCAATTTTTGCAACATGAAATGACAAAAATAGTACATATAAATACATAGTTAAGATACATATAGGACATAACAGATGATAACAACATGGTAAAGATACAGTTTTATAAAATAATTTGATTTCGCATGATAAAGATTAACAAATAAGAAAATAAATAAATGAAACCCATGATAAAGTTCTGTTGCATAAAAAAGATATTAAGCAATAAAGATATTATATTATACACTGAAACTTGACCTAGACTTTGGTATTCATTTTTTTGATATAGCAGGTCTAAAAGTTTATTCTTTTCACAACTCAATTCTGTTAAAGTTACAATTATTGATAAGGAGTTTTCGGCAAAAAACAGATTTCGTTTTTTAAGAATTTCTTTGTAAAAATAAATTTAAATGAAATATGACATTACTAAACATTTATGCATTATATTATAAATATATAGTAATATTTTGTATGTTAACTGAAATCTCCAGGACTATAGAATTTTTTTTTATTAATTATACATCTCAGCTCTTTTTTGTCAAGTTTATTTGTTTCAAAAGATTTTGGTAAATTTTACCAAAGCTTTTTGAAATTTAGAAAATCTTGTTTAGTTCAATTATTACAAATAATCTAAACTATAAAATCTGCCAAAACTTTTTGAAAGGAATAAACCTGTTACATAATTTTCAAAATGAACTAAACTATATATTTTAAAACTGTGCAATGTTATATGCAGCAACAGCATTTTTTCATGTTTTTAAGTAATTAGGATGAGCTGGTTTTTCTAAAATTGATTCCAAACTTGCTTGAAGTCCTAATGTACTGCTTCCTAAGCATGTTCAGTTTAATAACCAAGATCTAGATTTTATATAATATAAGTTTAAAATTGTAAAAATTTTAAAATTTTAAAAATTTTGCTGAAATAAATTGAGTTATAATAAAGAGAAAATATCAAAATATTTAAAATTATTTAATAGATATTTACTATTGAATATAACTTACCAAATATGCTCACTATTTTCTCAATAAATCTTGCAACATGTTGTTCAAAAATATCAATTTTAACTGTTACACTGGTTCCTAAGTTTTTGCAGTCATCTGAGAAAGTTTTTATGTCACCTTTATAGGTTTTACATAAAGTTTTCCCAAAACATCCTTCTATAACTTAAACATAATAACTAAAACATCCTTCTATAAATTTTAAAAGCTAAGTTTGACAATAAAGGTAACTCAATTTTGCAGAGTGTTTAGAAGATGCACATTGCTTTCCTTCCCTTTGTAATTGAAAGTCTTTTGATGATGTCATTTTAAAAAAATTTTAAAATAACATCATCAAAAGATCCTAAAATGACAAAAAAGACATCATAATTTTTGTAATCTTAGGATCTTTAGTCTATTCATCGTCTTTCGGCAATGAATAATAAGTTATAGGATTTTAAAGGATTAATAAGGATTTTAAAAACACTGGAATCCCTCAATTTTTTTTCTCATAACCTTCTAAATACCTTCCCTTTTGAGGGACTTCCTGATCACTTACCTCAAGCTTGTATGTTATAAAGGCAAAACACATTAAAAATCACTGTCCACCACTTTAATATCAATCTCTTCTTGTAGAAATTTCCTATGAATTTTTACCATAGATATTAACTTCTTGTTCAACATACTAGTGAAACCTTTATTAGTTCAATTAAAACAAATAATCTATAAAATTTACCAATAATTTTCATAAAACATATGAATACTTGTTGGAAATTTTCTACTTTATCTTTTTTGAAAATATTTAATTGCTCAGAATTGAAAAAGGGAATCGTTGAGTTTTTTGTAACTCTTAACTGCTCTTCGGTTCCTTTCAACAGAATTTCTATCACCTAAAAAACTTGTAACAGAATTTCTATCATCTAAAAAACTTGTAACAGAATTTCTATTAACTAAAAAACTTGTAACAGAATTTCTATCACCTAAAAACTTGGCAAGTATCTAAGAAATTTTGCAATCTCTAACATCTATTTAATGCTGAAATTTTTTTTGAAATCATTTTAATTGATTAGTAAATAACCCAGAGTTTATTTGAGGACACCACATTTTTTTGGGCAATGCTGTTGGGATGGGGGAGGGGGATGTTTTTGAGTCCCCTCCTTATCCCCTAGTTAAACCGGTGTCGCGACAATGATTTTTAATCATCATTTTTTCAATCATCATTTTTATCATTTGTGTTTATCTTGTTTAGTTTTATCGTAAGATAAGGAGTTGATTTAAAGGCATTTATTTGAATACATGAATTAACCGGTGGACGATGTTACTTTATATACAATAAGAAAGCTATTTTACTTAAGAATTTAATAAACGCTTTTGTTGCAAATACCACGCTATTAGTAAATAAATATGGAAAATTTTTTAAAGTATTTTAAACATTTTTTAACTGTATTTTTAGTAAATTTTATTTTAGTAGTTATTAATGTTTTAAATAATTAGTAATTAAATGTTTAAATACTTGAAACAATTTTAAATCAATATTTACATTACATATTATGTTTACATGTATTAAATTGTGTATTATTTGTAAAAATTTTACGTCTTGTATTCAAATTAAAAATTTAATAAAAAAATTTGATAAACATTTAATAAATGTATTTAATAAACTATTTGAACAAAAAACATAAACATTTAATAAATGTATTTACTATTATTTTAATTTTAAACTTTTGATTTAAATATTAGCAAACCTGTTTATTTAACTTTTACTAAAGGGAAAATTTTTTAAATGATTTTAAGGCGCCTTTTAATTTAAAGATAATTAAAGAAGAGATAATTACGGTAAACATAATTTTAAAAAATGTTATACTTTTTGATTAAAAAGCATATTAAATTTTAAAAAACATATTATATCACATTTACTATGGGTTATTTTAAAAAGATCTTAAAAAAATTACATTTACTATGGGTTATTTTAAATAAAACTTTTATTAAGTTATTGTAACCGTTATTTTTATTATTTTAAAAGTCAAAAAAAATATTGAAAAGAAACAAAACTTTCTAAAAAAGTTTACATTTCGTTTTTTTGTTTTCTTAACGTAAACTAAAATAGCAAGCTGAAGATTAAAAGTTCATTTATTCAAAAATTTAATTTGCGTGGTAGTTGTGTGGTAGAACTTATATTTTTTACTTTTGCTTATTTATTATCAAAAGCAGTTTACTCTTAATTGCCAAAAAACAAAAGTTAACTTTACTCTGAATGGATATTTTAAAATCACTCTATTTTTCGAAAAAGCAAATTTTTTATATATTCCATTGTTATAAATTTTCTGAACAAGTTTTAAAAATTAAGTTTTGTAACGTTTATTTTAAAACTAACGTTCAGTTAGTAACTGAAGGACAGTTACATCTTGTAATTACGTAAAAAAGCAATTTTTTTTTTAATTCATTTTATTGTCCTGAAGAAAAAATGAGGTAGCTAAAATAAACTGAGAATTATTTATATACTACTGCATTTAAAACTGAATTTTTTTATTTTCTATTTTTCATATAAAAACCAAAAGAAATATTAAAAAATAAAAATAATTTTTGGGCGCTTTTTTTTGGGCACCCATACAGCTCTAACGCCACTAAAACAGGTCTGGGTTTATATATATATATATACATACATATATATATATATATATATATATATATATATATATATATATATATATATATATATATATATATATATATTAATAATAAATTAGTAAAAATCCTTTTCTAATTTTTTTTTTCCTACAAATTGTTTCAATATCAGTAGGTTCATCAGGAAGAACCTATGAACCTACTGATAATGAAACAATTTGTAGAAGAAATAAATTAAGTGTTTTTACTAATAAAGATTTCGTATAACTTATGCAAAAAAAAAAAAAAAAAAAAAAAAAAAAAAAAAAATTTTGTGTATTTGCGCAAAATTCTTTTTTTGCTTACTTATACAAAAATATTTTTTATAAATGTTTTTTTTTTTTATTTTCAATTTTTTTATTTTAACAGAGACATGTTAATCAGAACAACAGAGAAATGCAAATTTGAACAAAAGAGAAACACAAATCTGTACAACAGAGAAATCTGGGTCCTGGAAAGTCAATTTATAAAAATTTAAAGAATTTCTTTTTAAATTACAAAACAAATTTTATAAATCTCTAATTTTAGATCTAGTTTACTATTTTATTAAATTATATAACTTTTATTATTTTATTATTATTTTTTTTTACAGTTACATTTTAAATTGTATTTTTTTTTAGTTTCATTTTGAACTCATATTTAGTTTAAGAGCAATGAAAATAACTGTAATTATGATAATTATGATGAATTATGATGACTCACTCAGTTAAATTATCAACTGAGCTTTAAAACATTTTGCTTTTGCATTTTGCTAAAGACGTAAGTCTTTCCAAACTTTGATTTTTAATAAAATAATTTAGACAGCTAACATTTTAGACAGGATAAAAAATCATAAAAAGGTCTTGTTTTAAAAAATATATATATATTTTTTTTATTTTGTTGCTCTGAAATTTATTAAAAACCCCATTTGTAAAGGTAAATTAAAAATCACCTTTCAATTGATTTCAATAGTTTTAATGATGGTTTAACAACAGATAAATTTTCAGAAGAATACTCTAAAAACAAGCATCCACAATTGATGTTGTTCTCCTAAAGAAATAAAAATTACTTTTCATAAAATGACCAAGATTTCACATTAATATCTATTATCTTATGCAAAAATTGTTGTCACTAACTTTTTGTAATCTTAACTATTTAAAAATCAATCAATAGAATTTGTCAAATAGATACTTACCATTTTGATATATTCTGGTAAAATTGTACTGTCAATTTTTAAAGGAATTAAAACCATGACAACATCATTCCCTGACTAAAAATCATATAAAAATCAACAGAATTTGTATACAAAGTATTTGAAAACTAAAAAATCTATTTACTAGGTTTTTTCAAAAAATTTTAACTGATATTTGTAGGATACTATTAAATAAAGATTTTATACATTTTCCTTCAACTATTTTTTAAATATTGTGAGTAGACATTGATGTTGAAAAAATATTTTTCTGCATAAACGCCTATTGTCGAAAGATAATCAAAACAGTTAATTTTTTGACCACAAAGTATATTTTTTTCGATAGATTGATTTCAATATTTGTAAAATAACACATTAAGTTTTTATGTTTATGTTGAAATTGTAACATAATGATTGTTAGCACATGCTCAAATGAGGGGCAAATTCATTGTTATAGAAAAAAAAATGCTGAAAAAAATTTGGTTCTTTCATCATGCAAATTTTTAAACTACAGAGTGCCGTTTGAAAGAAAATAAAATTGTGCTCAAAATCCACTTCTAAGCCTTAGATTTTATCTATAAAAGCTAGACTTTTCAAAATATATTAGTTTACAGTTAGTTTTTAAAACCTTCTGAAGTTATAACTATAAACCCGACTCTGATGTGAAACATGTAAACAGACTTATTATAATGTATAGTCTAAAATGTATATATAGTAAATAATAAGTATATAAAATATGATTAGTAATTGTGATGAAAGCAGTATTTCATCTGTACCAAGTGGTTTTATGTAAAGGGCCATCGTGAGGTACAAGTTAACTACTGGTGAATGTGGCACACTAACAACATGTCTGATGTCAATGCAGCAGGAGACAGCTTACCGCCATTTTTCATAATTAAGGGAACAAAAATTCCTGATGCATCTAAATTTCCTTGAGCACAAAACTACACAGCAGTAAAAGCAGATATATTGATCAAAAGATCTTTATTGACTTATTAAACCATTTTAATGAGTTTCAGCCAAAAGTGGATGGAAAAAAAGTATTTTTGGATTATTAATTTTTGAAGCTATTGAATTAGCAATAGATATGGATATTGAAATAATATGAATTCTACCTCATAGTACACATTACCTTCAACCACTTGAAACACATGTTAATAAAGTAGTTAAACATATGTGGTCTGAGTCCTTGTCTAATTGCTTAGCTAAAAATGATGATATTTCTATGCCTCATTATATATCACATTATTTTAAAAAAAATTAACATACTTACAAAAAGAGGATTGATTGTTAATGCATTTTATTATTGCGGTATGCATCCCCTAAGAAATACAGTGAATGACTTCGATTACAAAAAAAAGGTGTTTAATTAAACAATAATTCACCAGGGAAACACAAATTTACCTATTTTAAGGACTATTGTACTTCCTCAGGAAAAAAAAGCACACCTACTCACTTAAAAGGCCATATTGCCCTTATTACATCACCAGATAATGTTAAGTTTACTTTTTTTTGGAGGAACCTCCTGCTAAAAAAGGCTCTAATAAAAAATCTGGTCAGCGTTCAAAAAAAAAAGATAAATCAGTCAAAACAAAAACAAAAAAGACTTTTTTTTTCATCTGATTCTGATCACCTAAGTTCATCTAGTGGTTTGGTTTTAATAAATAACACTGATAAAGACTTATGTTGTGTTTGTGCAGCTTGGAAGAAGCAAAAAAGGTTGTTTTGGAGTTGATACATATTCAAATTGTGTGCAAAGGACATATAAACATCTTTTAAATTATTAAATAGTCATAGTGACATAATTTTTGTTATTGCTTTGAGGCAGTTAAACGATTTTCATTTAGGCCAAAATCATTATTTGATATTTTCTAGAAAAGTTTTAAAAAGTTTTGACGTCCATTTAGATGTTTTGAAAATCAGGAAACTTTCAGTAATTCTGTTTTGTCTGAAACATTAAACATTAAAGCTACTTCAGTAATTCTATATTAGCTATCAGTAGTTCTGCATCACTGGTTGGGGTTTTATAACTGCATCACTTAGGGGTTTACTAATCTAGATTAAGGAAATCATCCTACTATTACCTCAAAAATAATAATTTATATCAAAGTTTTTTTTCTCCTACATAAGCTGTTTTTAAAACTAGAAAGGAATTTCATCTATTGCATAAGTGATGCAATTTCAATTAGTTTAGTTGTACTGATGAATTTGTCCCTCATGCCTTGTTGATGAAAAAATCAAGTTCTACGCAAAAGTAACTTTAGAATTTATTTTCACTCAATACATTAACAAAGTAGAGACCCTAATTAATAAAAAAAGGCTTTTAAACTAGAAAAGTTTATTTAACTATATACAAATTCATTTTGTTAAAGTAAAAAATGATGAACTCGCCCGCCTTACCCTATATATGTATCTATTTATATACACATACACAAACACATACACACACACACAATTATATATACACAGTACCTGCTTAAATTATTAGACTTAAAAATAGAAATTTCCAGATTTTGTTATCTTTTTGAATTTTCTTTGATAGGTAAGGTTATTGCTGTTTACTTTTTGTTGTTCACATGTAACTTAATTCTTGCAATTCATTTTTTGTTTTAAATTAGGAATATTTATAAAATATATATACTTTAAAATATATATTTTCAATATAATAAAAGGTATGGTAAATTGTAAGAATATAAAATTAAAAACTTTGATCTGATTTTATCTGTCATAAATCAAATCATATGTAGGGCTGTCAGAAAAGGTACCTAAGCACCCATTAAACATTTTTTTTTTTTTAATATTGTTCTTATAAACAGTTAATAAAAACTTTTATTTCAATAATATCATTTATTTAGAGATGTTCTTTTTCACTTAATTCTAAATTTTATTTTACTTTAAGAGTCCAGGTTACACAGGTCCTAAGTATGGTTTAAAAATTCTAGTGTGTCCACTATTTCAGAGTTTCTACTTTTTCAGTGTGTCCACTATTTCAGGCTCCAAAAATTAAATGATCACATACGTAACAATTGAGAAAACATATTCTGATGACACTATAATTGAATTTTGCTAAAATAATTATATATTCCTTCTTCCAATCATTTAAAGATTTTTGTCTGAGAAAACATTAATAAACAAGTTGGATAAGTTTTGTTCTATGTAAAGGAAAACATTGTACACATATCTTAATGATAGTAATTATTAAGAAATAATAAGATATCTGAATCAGAAACTCAAACAACTTTACGAACATTTTTTTTCATATGTTTTCAGAAATTCTGATATTAAAAATTTTATAACTATTAAAATTTTCAAAAACAAAATCTTCAAGATCTTCTTTCACAAAGATCTTCAAGATTTTCTTTCACAAAGACCTTCAAGATCTTCTTTCAACCAATGGACCAATACTTTAGTACCAATCCACATTGTTAATTATATGTCATTTTTAGAGACCTAAATTAACCAGAGTTAGAAAAAAAACAGTTTTTTTTAAAAAACCTGAATGGTTTTTTTTTTTTTTTTTTTTTTGGGGGGGGGGGTTAAAAACTGATCGAAGTTTTTATTATCATATGTGTACAGTAATTATTTTCTTTAATTATATAAATTCACCTCCCCATTGCATTAGTGTCTACTACAATCAAGGAAACTTATTTAAAAAAAAAATTTCTCCATTAATCCTTAACTTAGAAACACAAACATTTTTAAAAAAGGGCGCTGTGGAGAGAAATAGGTTTTGTACAGCAATTTCAGAGGGTGCAGAGGCGATTCGAACCTCAACCTTTTGATTGAAAGTCAAATGTTTTGCTACTAATCTACTAACACATATTTAAGGTACTCAGGGGCACTCCTTCAACTATAAATGATGTTAATTAATTGTATTAAAAAATGTTCAGAATATTTTTGACTAAAAAAATCACAATTAAAAATATTATAATAAACAATATGTTGATATATAGACAATATGTTGACAATATACATGTTGCAAACTAGTTTTTATACTATTTTATTCTTTATATTATGTATTTATAAGATTTGTTTTGCAAGTGGATCTGTATCTAAGCATAGATTGTTCTTAAGAATATGCGGTAGTGGTGTAGTGGTAGAGCGCTCGCTTCATAAACGAGTGGTTCCGAGTTCGATTCCCACCACGTCCCTGGTAGTACCGCGCTCAACTCGTTTCTCCGCGCAGCGGCCTTGTTCGGCAAGGTTCGTGTTTCGAAGTTATAGAGTTGAGAGAGGGTTATAGCCACAAATAAGTAGCCTCCTCGTCTGTAGTGGCCGTCTCGGCCTTGAGGAGGTGAATTAAAATAAAAAATATATATATATATATCAAAAATGGATTTATAACCCCTCATAGTCACCCCCGTTGACATTTCATGTTGTTAACTTGTAGCTTATATAAAATTTATTAAATTAAAAACCTGTAAAATAGACAGATGAACATGAGTATCATTTTCACCAACAAACTTTGTCCTTTTGAAGTGCATAGAAGTTTCCAACATGCTATCTTGTTGAATGAGCACGTGCATACATATAAAGTATGTATTTAATGTTTTGAGGTTATAAAAGTCCACAGTCTAGTAAACTGTAGCATAACTTTTTTTTCCAGACAGTAAATAAAGTTTAACAATTCTTATATATAGTGTTCTGCTTATTCTTATTATTGTGGCTTTACTGATTTTTGCAGCTTATAACAAACTTTACAAAATAAAGATCAAATAACAATATAAAATGACAGATCTAAAATGGTTGTTCGGACATATAGGCATTTGAGAGAAAAGGAAAGGTATTGAATAACTAGTAATCTTTTGTACTTTGAAATTTAGTTTATAGAATAATTTTTATTTGCTTTATAAATATTTACCCAGACTTGGTCGGGAAGCGGGAGCGATCGCTCTCGATTGCTGACCACGTAAATAATATTTAGTTGCGAAAAGCTGGCCAGTTTTTTTAGTCGTTTTAAGAACATTTTTAAAAGCAAAAAAAAAAAAAGCGATAAAGATTAATTGGACCGATGAGAGACAAAAAAATCAAAAAATTAAAGCTAAATAAATTACGTTTAGAGCAAATATTTTCGAAACATCACTCTTTTATAATTTTTTTTATAAAATTAAGCGATGTTTTTTATATAAAGTAACAACTTAAGATTGTTTAAAAAGGAAACAAATATTCTTTATTAACAAAGTTTGCAAGTTTTAGTTTTATTTAAGCTAAATTATTTTATAAATAAAAAAGTTTATTTTTTTAATACCTACTTTATGTTTTGAGTAGTTTAAAAAGTTTAACACATTTGAAGCAATTCTTCTTAGTAAGATAAACAAATAAAATAATTAAATCATTGAATTACTATAGAAATTAAATTAACAAGATAGAAATCAACTAAAAAGGTTAAATATACTTAATGACGAGGAAGCGAAACTGCTTCACAATATTGCTGATGATGTTTAGTGAGTGGGCTTTTTAATTTTAATTAATATATAAAGCAGAAAAAAGTAAAAAGAGTTTTCAGAATGGCAACTTAAGCGAAAATAATTAGAGTTAGTAAACCAATATCTAGAAACTTTTCTTTGTATCTAATTATTTGCTATAAATATTTGTGTTCTGTCGTACGCAGTGCTTGTTCATCCGCAAGTTACTTACATTTTCATTATTGTTATAATAAATCATTTACAATATATTCATTTTGAGTTAAGATATGACAGGAGTTACTTCGTATGCATTGTTTGTGTTTAGTAACCAGAAACTTCTTATATGTTTGTTACATAATTAATTTTATTAATTTGGACAATTATAACTTCATTGACAACGCAAATATTTTTGTAAGTCTTTGTTTAAATTATAAAAATTGCTTTAAAAGATACATTACGATAAAAAACAGATACACAATTATATTTACATAAAGAATACATACTTTTTAAATAAAAAATAAGAATATACTAATAAAATCTATAATTTATAATAAACTTTTAAAATTTTGACAGTTTAATTAATATATCTTTAAAACATTTATTTTTGTAAACAAATAATATATATTCTTAAAACAATTTATGCTAGAAATCTCAAAGCGTAACAAATCATGAATAATACAATTTCTAAAACATTTCAACAAAATACTCTAGAACTTTATTTCGGGTTTTTAGTGTTCGCAAATATTCTTTTTATATAATTTCAGTGGTCAGTATTCGAGAGCGACTGCTCCCGCTTCCCGATCAAGCCTGTTTACCTATTTGCTTTAATATTTTAATACATATTTCAATAATATTTTTTAATTTTTTTTTTTTTTTTTTTTTTTTTTTTAATTATTCACCTCCCCAAGGCCCGAAGAGGCCACTACAGTCCAGGAGGCTACTCTTATTTTTTTTTTTTTTTTTTTGTTGTAAATCGTGGTACAAACCTCTCTCAACTCTTTAACTCCGAAACACGAACCTTGACAAGCAAGGCCGCTGCGCGGAAAAATTAAGTTGAGTGCGGTACTTCCAGGGACGTGGTGGGAGTCGAACTCCGAACCTCTCGCTTACAAAGCAAGCGCTTTTACCACTACACCACTACCGCACGCATTTAACTTTTATGTTGGTTCAAAAAAAAAAAAAAAACCATGTTATTTTAAAAAACCAAAAAAACCCTGGTTTTTTTAGTTTAAACCTTTTTTCAAAAAAAATCAACGTTTATTTAATTTGTTTAATTAAAAAAAAGCATTAGTCATTTTACTTGAGTAAATTATATTTTTTGTTAACATCACTGCTGTAATTCATCAATCAATACATCATTATTTAATGTTCTGTATATAAAACAAGCTTTGCCACTTTTTCACTTTTGAGCTTGTTTATTTCTAGTTTTTAAACTAGGAATGAACAAGCTCAAAAGTCGAAAAAATTATTTTAATTCTAGTACTAGAAGCTAGTGCATTTAACAAATCTTTAATCAGGGCTCTCAACTTTGTCTAAAATAATAAAACTTCTCGGCATGTACAAAATATAACCTTCATGTGCATGTACAAAATAAAACATTCAAAGAATTTTTCATATATTTGAAAAAAAAAAAAAATTTAATTATCGCGTAATATATTTTAAAGAATTCAAAGAATTTTTCAAAAATTTTGCTTTGAAGTCAGAGTTGAAGTTGTACTCTGAAAACTTCAATGATGGGAGTTAGAGTCGGAGTTCATACTTTTTTTTCACGACTCTGCACCTCTGCCTTCAATATCCATGATAATGTTGCAGTCCAAAAATTTTAGAGATTTCTACCATTTTATTGGTGATACATTTTTTAAAACAGATTCACTATATAAATAGCTTTTATTGAATGGAGCGGATTTGGCTTTTAACTTGAATATTATTGGTAATAAGTTCTTAAATCCTTTATCTGAAAAGGTCATTGCAGCTTCATTTTCATTTTCAGAAAGATTAGATACAAAATAACTAGGATCTAGAGTGTTTGCAAAAAAATGAACATCGCTGACAGTCTTAAGATATCTAGTTTCCAATATATATATATATATATATATATATATATATATATATATATATATATATATATATATATATATATATATATATATATATATATATATATATATATATATATATATATATATATATATATATATATATATATGATTTAAAAAAATACAAACCTCATCTTTTATAAGACTCACTTCACAAGCTACTTTTGAATTGGATATAAATTCTTGTAGCTCTGAATATAAGCTTTCGTATTTAGTTAGAAGTTTTTGTTGATGAATCAAAAACAAATTATGTAATTCTTTAATCATTTTATATAATGAATCATCATGGTTGCTCCAATTTTTAAAGCTCTAAATATAAAAAGCTTTATAATTATTATAATTCGCAATTAACTATTAGTTTATTTATGTTAATTAAAATAACTTTAAAAAAATATAATAATAAAGAAAACTAA